AACAACCCCAGTAAACATGCAGAGTATCATAAGAGGATCATTGAACACCTTGTCCCAATTGTTTGAACGTTTACACCCCTACAAAGAATATACCTGTTTTTCAACAGCACATGATACACATATCCATATGAAAACATTATGTTGGATCATAAGGCAGGCTCAATAAATTTGAAAGGACACAGTTTGTAGACTATATTTTTTACAATAGTGAAAGTAAAAGCAAACTTAATTTCATGAAACTAGAAGAATACCAAATATATTTAAATTAAAAAAAAAGTCAAAGCTTTTAAATTGGACTCTAGAATCACTTATACTAAAATCTCTTCACTGTTATAATTTGCAACCAGGCCCGGGATCTGGGAGAAGAGCAGTGATGGCAAGGGAGCCTGAGTGAATTAGTAGGATGCAAGTGAAGTCAATAATGATGCATTAACATCATGACAAAACATTCTTAGTGTTCTCTATCTAAATGCTTTATGTAGACATGGGTTTTAAAGAAAGATGGTCAAAATATATTAGATTTTCTCCCAAAGTTTTTATTTTAGAGGCCAGTACAGTGGGTAAGGCCTTACATCTGGCGAACACTGGTTGAATCCCTAACACCAAATTTGGTTCTCCAACCCACCAGTAATGATACTGGAGCACTGAAACAGGAGTATTCCCTCACTACGACACACAAAAAAGGGGGGCTTATTTTAAAATAGAAAGGGAAAACCCAACTATGCATGCTATTTTTTATAAACTCATCAAAAACTATTTCCTCATAATATAATTTGCTTGCTTGGATTATTTTTTTAAATAAGAATAACTTTTTACCACATTAGGCAAAATATAGATAAGTACATATATACATATATATTCTATTATATTGAATTAAAACTGAAACTTCCAATGTAAATGAACTGTTTGTAAAACTCTTAATTTGCAAATAAAGTTCCCTATACTAAAATGTTTTTTAACAAATCCACCTTCTGGCTGACTCAGTAATAAGACTAAAAGTCTCTCCCTACTGGCTGATTAAATGATTCTCGTGTGGGGCAAGACCTCATGGAAAGGAATTGAGAGGTGACCTCTAGCTGTTCAGCAAAAAATAGAAGCTTTTAGTTCTACAAGCATGAAAAATGAATTGCTTCCAATGATCATGTGTTTGAAAGAGGATTCTGATGCTCCTGTGAAAAATCAGCAGTTGATTACAGTTTTGTGATAACATAAAAAAGAGATCTTTGTAATTCATGCCCAGATTCTAAACCACAGAAACAATGCAAAAGTCAATGTTTGAAGCCACTAAAAATTAAAAATAAAGCTATTCTAAAATAACCAATTGGGAGAGATGGCGGCCGCATGGGAGCCTTGTGGACAGCAGGTATGAGCCGGGGGTTGGGGGGGCGACGAAAACCTCATGGGAAGGGGGGCGTTCCAGCCTGTCCTTCACACCCTACCGAGGTCACCAGCTGACCCCCATGAGCAGCTCTCCGGCACGGTCATGGCCCCAGAAGCACAAGGACTTAATGCAGAAAAACAGCAGCTTGGAGCAGAAAAGCAAACGGACTATGCGTTAAGATGGCAGCGAAAAATGGCGGCACGGCCACGACTCCAGAGCACAGAAACCAATCTCTTAATTATCTACTTTTAGCAGAAATACTTCCAGGGTTAATAAGTAAAATAGCAGAAATCCAAAACCGTGTGGCCGCGATAGCGGCCGTGCTACAATATTTAATTCTTGAACCCAGCTGTAGAAAGCAAATCATTTCACAATGCATTTTCAGCATGTCTGATTGGGGGGGGGGGTAAACTCTAAATAATAATGGTGCATCTTTTATCGAAACAATGAATCTAGTCAAAGTAGATAGATTATTAACTAGAACTCATCTGCCTCACAGGAATTGGGAGGGGTGGGAGGTGGGGTTTTATTGGGGTTCGTGGTAAAAAATAAGTATTGGTAAAGGGAAATGTGTTTGATATTTTCATGACTGAGACCTAAACCTGGAAGCTTTGTAACTTTTCCCACAGTGATTCAATAAATAAATAAATTATTTAAAATTTATAAATAAATAAATAAATAACAAAATAAAATAACCAATTGGTCTGAGAAACAATCAAAAAGAAAATTACAAAATATTTGGAACATAAGTGTAACTGCAAAATTACAACTTATGAAAACTTGGTGAATATAGCTAAAAAATGAACAGGGAAAATTTTATAACTCTAAGTGTGTTTAATGGTATAGAAGTCAGGCTTAAGATTATTAACTTAAAGTTCCATCTTAAAAAACTATAAGGAAATATTAGGAAACTAAAGTAAGTTAATGAAGAAAAAATGATATCAGTAACAGACAAAAATGCAAAATTTGATTAATTTAAAAGATAACAAAATTTACATACCTATAGACTAATCAAAGATAAAAAATAAAAAATAACACTATCCATGCAAAGAATAAAGCATACTGTTACTCTAGATTCTGCAAAGAATGAAACAACTACTCTAGATTCTACTGAAATTAAAAGGAAAGTAAGGGAGTATCAGTACCCTTCTGCCAAATTTGACAGCTATTGTGAAGCAAACTGAAAAATATGACACCAAAATCATCAAACAGAAAATCTGAATATCCTTACATATATTAAATATATTGTATAGTAGTAGGGTGTAGACATGGTAGTTCGATTCTTGGTACCACAGAGCTCCCTGACCATTGCCTGGTGTAGCCTCGGGGGATGGATGGGAGGCACTGTTGTCAATAGTGTTCCCAAGCACTCGAGGACTCAAGTAGTTCTTCACCCTGGGCCTGAGCACTGAGCCCCCAGACTGGTTTATCATGGGCAAGTGGTTCATCATCCATGAGCATATTTGGGAGGTGGGAGAGAGAAAAAAAGAAAGGGGGAAAGCATGAGACAGAAAGGAAGAGGAAAGGAAAAGGAAGGAAGAGAGGAAGAAGAGAGAAAGAGGGGGAGAGAATGGAAGAGGAAAGAGTGAGAGAGATTGAATCTATGTAAAGTTCTCTTACAAAGTACATTGTAGACTTGAGTGTTTTTAATGTTATAGTCCATTAAACATTTAAGAAAAACTCACTATTACATGTAGACACTATGAGAAACTAGAAAAGGTTATACTTTTCAACAAAGAAGCTATAAAAAGGAAACTCTAGATCAATATTCTTCACAAATAGATTTTCAAAAGCAGAGTTTTGTGTTGTTAGTGAACTGTCTGGGTCTTAGGGTAAGTGTGTTTTGTTCAACAGAAAAACTTTTCTAAAACATATTTCACGATTTTATAGCAAATGTCCATATTTCTATATGCACCAAATTGCATAAACTTTTGGAGTATTATGTGTTCGTGTTCTAGTCATGCTTATAGATATGAAAGTATGGTTTACTGTTTTTTTCATTAGTTTTTTCTAACTTACAAAAATGTTATTGCACTTTAGCCATATGCTGATTCATCATTTGCTTACCTTCTTTGGTGAAATCTCAGGAGGATTTGCTGCGGAAATTGATACACTTATTGAATAATAAAAATACTAATGTTCTAAAATTTCTAAAACTTAAGATGTAATGTCCTAAATATAATAATAAATGCAATATATAGTAGAAAAATAAAAAATAGCCTTTTGCTGAAGATAAGGGTGAAGTATTAGTAGAAAATGAAGTGAAGAAACTTTCAGGAAAATGGTAATACTTTATAACTTAAAAGGAGTTTGATTTGAAAAATAATATTCTAGTCAAGATTCAGCAAGTTGGGGTTGAAGAAATAACACAACAGATAAGGCATTTGCCATGTTAGATCCCTGGCACTACATATTATCCCCCTCAGCACTGCCATGAATGAGTCCCTGAGTCTAACTTTTGTAAGACTTCCATATTGGTTCTATTATTAACATTTTATGATAAAGCTTTAGCTTATATTGATCCATCTGTTCTTCCTTCCACCCAACCATTAAGGCTCTTATTTTTGGATCATTCAAAGTCAATTGCAGATACCAGTATACTTTCCATCAAATACTTTCACATTTATACCAGAAGGTGTAGGATATCTTATTTTCTTACCCAGAAATATTTATGTACAGCAAGATGCAGTAATCTTAATTGCACCCTTGATTTTTTTGGCCACACTTGTTGTGCTCAGAGGTTAGTCTTGGCACTGTGCTCAATGCTTACTCTTTGCTCAGTTATCCTATATAGTCCCAAAACACTGCCAGGAGTGATTGCTTAGTGCAGAGCTCAGAATTGCCAAGTGTGGCCTAAACACTGCCCCCACCCCAATATCATTTTTAATATTTCAATGGAAGTATTAACAAAATAGTACTGCTGACACTTAAAGGAGCCATTTATATCTCTGGAAAAAAACAACAGCATATAATTTATTTTCTTTTGTTGTACGGTAAATCTGTTCTATTTTAAATAAATAAGTTATTCAAGAAAATACTTCTTATCTCTTTTATACCTCCTCATTGGTGCATTCTAAAATAGATTTTTCAAGATTATTTTCAATGAAAAATGGAATATATAATCAGATATGTTTTCCTGAAGTGTATATTAAAGCATCATTTTAAATTTTTATTAATGCATATGAAATCTTTGGTTAAAAAATTTTTTGAAAATAACTATTACTGGTTATTTCTGCCTACTTTTACTTTTGTGTAAAAAGTAAGCAAGTTTTGTGTTTTTATAGTCTCACTGATATTTTAAAAGAAGCAAACATTTTATTATTTTTAATGTTTATGGTATGCTGGCTTTTTGTTTCATTAATTTATACTTTTTTCTTTATTGTTTTTCTTACTTTGGGGAAGTAAAAGGCAGCTATTTTTCTGTCCCATTTTTGACTTTTTGAACACAATTAGATCATTAATTTGGGATCCTTTCTATTTCTTTTCTATCTGTAAAGATCTAGGAATTATTTTTTAAGGTACATCCTTCATGTTCTGTTATCATATTTTATTTTCTTTAGGTAAAAGCATACCACTGTAATTTTTTTGTCCAATGGATCATTTAAAAGTGTATTGTTTAGTGGCCCTGAATCAAGGCCCACAGCCCCCGCCGCTGCGGGCTTCAAGTAGGAGCCTAGAGAAAGCCTCTCTAGGGGTCTGTTGGCCATCTTCGCATCAGCAATGCGATGGTCAATTCATCAGAAAGGAACGGTGTGGGGAGTGGGAGGGGCGGGGGGAAGGGACTGTTGGGTCTGGACGAGGGCGAGGCCTAGCACATGAGGGCTGACTTGGGTGACCGTGGCGCGCGTTTCCCAGAAATAAAATTTTTTAAACAAGTGTGTTGTTTAATTTTAAATCATTGACTATGGTGAGAGAACAGACTTTATTTTAGAATATCAAAAGAATACTTTTGAAGCTATTTTTTTATTTTTATAAAGTCTATAATGATTTATTACATTCAATATTTCAACACCAATCCCACTGCCATTACACCTTCCCACCACCATTATTTCCAATTTTTTCAACCACCACCCAATACTGCCCCAATAGCAGACACTGAATAATCTACTTTACTTAGTGTGTTGGGCTAGAGCGATAGCACAGCGGTAAGGCGTTTGCCTTGCTCGCAGCCAACATGGCCGACCCGAGTTCGATTCCTCCACCCCTCTTGGAGAGTCCGGCAAGCTACCAGGAGTATCTCGCCCGCAAGGCAGAGCCTGGCAAGCTACCCGTGTCATACTCGATATGCCAAACACAGTAACAACAAGTCTCATGATGGAGACGTTACTGGGCCCACTCAAGCAAATCGATGAACAACGGGAGGACCGTGACCATGACTTTGCGTGTTATGAATAGTTTGCTAAAAATTATTTTAAAAATTTCCTTAGAAGAAAGTGTGTGAAATTTGTTGTATCTCACCCTGAAGCAATTGATCTCTTATATAAGAAGTTACTAACACGTTACAGATTAAGGTTTGTGTGTTAATATTTTCTTGATCGAGATTGGTTTTCTTCTTCTTTACCTACCATCCAATGTTGTGTGCTACTCCAGGTGTATCAGTGGTGTACAGTGTGAGATGTTGCTCCAGGAATTCTAAACTTTTAAATGAGATGATGCAGCTTACCCTTGAACACAGAATGATTTCAACCTCTCCTCAAACAGGTATGCCAAGATTGAGGGTCAATGAGTCACCAAAGAAAAATTCAACTAGTCATAATATATAAATATGATAAATAATGCTAATAGATTCTCTCTAAACGTTTTTAAATGCTTGAAGCATTATTTTATTGCTAATTTCCATGTTCTACAATTGCTTGAGACTGGCATTCCTACTTCATATGGAAATCACTATAAATTTAGCTAGGAGTTCAAAAACTCTAAAATTTAAGGAGCTGAAATGGGATTAATTCTAGTCAAAATCACTTTATTACAAACTGTAGAATTGATAAGTTAAGGGACTTGATTTAACTTATCAAGTAGTATAGTTGTATAGAAAATTTCTCAAAATATTAGATCTGCTTATTACATTTTTGACCTCAAATCTTCAGTTTTCACATTCACATTCTGGATACAAGAGAGCAAGATATGTGTAGTTAAAGGTAATTTATTTAGTTGCAAAACCACTAATTAATGTGAAGTAGTATGTTGGAAGAATAGCTGACAATTGAAGAAAAATTCATATAATTGATAACAGACCAGCAAATTATACTTGGAAATGGGTGGGACCTAGATAGTTCTGGGAGATAATGTATAAACACATAAATCATCACAGAGTAAAAATAGCCTAACCTATACATTTTTACTGAGATAAGTGTGTGCCAAATGCTTTTGTAGCTCAGATTCTCTCATTCTGAATTCAGAATCCTGGCAGAAAGCTTCCAGATTAGCAAAGCTAAAACATTTTTTTATCACTGGCTATTCCAGAAGATCAGAGTAAGATTCATGGCCTTTACATTTCCAAGGGAATTTGGTATGTTGCTTTTGGATTTACCATTCTATAACAAGCTATTCAAATCGGTGATAGTATTGTTACCCTCCAAAGAAACTGAAGTGTATTGGAATGAAGCAAGTATATGGGGATCATAGGTCCAACATAGAAATTACTTGAGGAAAGGATTTGAAAAAATAGCAAAAATAGGCTACGTGTTATTATAGCACAGCAAAGTGAAAAATAGCAAGAAAATAGCTCTACATGAGCTGACAAAATACATGAGATGGGCCTGCTTTGAATTCTTCTGCAAATTCCTTTCATTGCAATTCTAGGTGTGGCATTCAGCAGTTCAAGTTCAAGTGAAGGTAAATGGAAAAAGCAAAACTTAAACCATCCTGTGCATTTTATTTTAAGTCTGAAATTGTTTTGGTATGCCTTATTGCCTGAGCTCTGCTTTTAGATATACATACATACATACATACACACACACGCACGCACGTACATGCATGCACACACACTTAGATGCAGAGGATTGATTTCGTACACAGTGTTGAGAAGGAAAGTAATCAGACTGGTAACACCCCACTCTGAGCTTGATAAACAGTGCACTCATGCACATTATAAATCATTTGTTTTCGTTCTATTTTGCAGAGAAGACAGCACACATCAGTATAGTACCCACCTCATTACAGAGCAGTGAATCTTTTCCTGTCTTCAATAATTAAAATTCTATAATGGGGGGTTGCTTCTAATTTGGTGTATGTGTGTGCATCCACCTATGTGCTTTTATAAGAATTAAAGAGATTAGTAATTAAGCCTTTAAATAAGTAATAGAGAGAAAAGGAGAGCAGAGTTAAATCATTCTCATAAAACTGATTGCTGATTAGTTTTCTGAAGTTAAATCACATTAATGTACCATAAGCCACATGCTTATAAATTCCTGACGTATCTGGAAAAATGACATTCTAATGAAGCACCACACATTTCACACTGATAGGTTTCAGAGGCAGCTGCAGGCTTGCAATTCCTTAACTGCATAATGCTAATATGCTAAGCCTTTAATTTAAAGGTTTCTTGGCTTGCCTGTTCACTGCCCACTTCAGGGAATGGGCAGTGAGCAACACGCTGCTAACTAGTGGATTTGTCAGCTCCAGCAAGCCCAGATTTTCCTGCTACAGTCTGTGCACATGTATTGTTCCTTTTGAGCACTTGGCTCTGGGTATTCGATCCGTTGAATGCTACCATGGTTCCAATCATTATCAAAGTATTTAGATGATGAACACAGCCCTCTGGAAATGCAGATATCTACTGAATTAATACACTGCAGAGAACTCTATTAAAGGGACATGTGACAAAATCCAAAGCTTGGGTATTCATCTGGGAAGAGGTATTATTCATGATGCTTTATTCATTGGGCTTTTCATTCTGTGTCACTAAAGTATAAATGCTAAATATATATATTATGTATATAGATATATACATACTTTATATATACGTATTTAGACTCTGAGCTGCTTCTGTAGTTCAGAAATTTTGACAGTTATTATCCATAATATGCTTTAATAAGATCATCTAAAAATCCTATGAAGGAGTCTTTGCAGCGAAGGCATGGGGAAAATGTACTTAAAGAGCAAATTTACTTCAAAAGCCAAATCCTCACTTAAATGTTCAAACTTTTAGAAATGGGGTGAATGATTATATGGCTCAGTATCTTTGAAGCAGAAAGAGAAATATCCTTTTTCCCCCTCATTTCACATACTGCAGTCTTTAAAACTAGCTTGGTTATTGCAAGAATGGAACTGGAAGGCATGATGATAAATAAAATAGGTCAGAAACATAAAGAAATACTGGAAAATCTATTTCATACATAGTAAAGAAACACAGAAGGCAATAGACAGCACCCAGTGCAAACCAATCTTCACACTCTGACACAGAATTAAGGTGACATAAGAGAGACAAGGAGTAAACAGGGACAAGACATATCACTGTGTGAAGAACATGTTTGGCACTTTGGTGATAAGCAGTAAATATTGTATACCTAAAACACATCAACATTTACACTGGTAACACAATATCAACCCAATAAATTAATTATATATATTAAAAAGTATACCTATTTATGTTCCCCTAAATCTGCTGGTCCTTTTAACTTCATCTCAGTTGCAGAATTACTTTCTTTCCATAGTCCAAAATGGAAATCGCAAATAAATACTCTCTCCTCCCTTATTACAATGGTCATCAAGTTTTGTCTCTTAGATTTACTGTGGGTTCTTCGCTCTTTCCCTCTTCTTTAATTTGTCACTGCCAGTGTTTCCTTTTCTTTTCATGTTTTCTAGATTATCATAGCTCTCCTACTCAGAGAGAGAGAGAGAGAGAGAGAAAGAGAGAGAGTGAGAGAGAGAGAGCATAGCACTCCTACTCAGAGAAAGAGAGAGAGACACAGAGAGAGAGAGAGACAGAGATCTTTGCCTCATTCCCACTTCAGATTCTTACTAACATTTGCTCCTCTGAAATCTCCAGGCCCAAGTTACACACCTAGTAGTTTATTCTGTTCTTCTATCAATCACCATGAGCTGTACTATGCTTACTATAGACACATTTTGCTGAGAATGTCTTTTGTCCTGTCAAATAAAAATTCTTTATCCCGTCAAGGAAAATCAACTTGAATGGGATAAGTTTAATAAAAAGAATTACTAAAGCAGTAGAGTATGTGAGTAATGAAGGATTTCCTAGAAAGATCAAACCTAACTCAAAAGAGGACACGAATTGCCACTATTATGTCCACAAGGTCTTCAGGACTAAGAGAAGTATACAAGAAGCACCCACTTCTTCCCAAGCTTGAGGTCTAGCACAGTTATGGCTCAGTGAAATCAGAAAAGTCACTGTTGTGCCAAGCTGTTGGAATTTTCTGGAAATTCACTTGTTGGAACTTTCCAGGGAAGCTTTTCATGAAGACTTGTCTCATCAGAAGCACTTTGCTATCAAGTTACTCAGGGTGAGAGCAGGAATGGGGGTGGAGGGAGTTGCTGAGTGTCATCTGTTATCTGGGGAATGCAACTGACTTCTAAGTGCAGTTAGCAACTGTGTGTTGGAGAAACTCCCAGTAAATTAGGAGCCCTGAAATTGAAAAGCCATGAGATCATCTGTCCAGTGAGTATCCTAGAACCAGAGAACAATTGCCTCTTCATTTGTTAGTCTCTCTATCACCCACTTCTGACAAAACTGAACATCACTCCAGTGAGAAGAAAACAATCATTAAAGGGTCCATTTTCATTGTAGGAGG